ACACACACACACACACACACACACACACACACACACACACACACACAGTCTGAGATTTATTACACACCAACACACGCCTGGTGTGGAGTTCATCACGGGTCGCCGTGGTAACGACAACAGAGAGGTCGGAGTCGTGTTACGGTCAACATGTGGCGCCTGCTGCTGCGTGTAACACGCTAACACGACTCAACGGGTTCTGAGCGCCACAGAAACCAGTAGGCTGACAGATTCTGGTTCTGCTGGTCCTAAAGTGCCGCTTCAGGCATGTTCTGGTAATACCCAAGTTCTTCTGCAAACTGGTTCTGTTTCGGTCGGTTCTGTATTTTGGACTTTTACCCCAAAAAATGTTTCCAAAGCTACGCAAAAAAAGTTCAACTTTATCAACTTTTTGTGTGTTTTACACACACCCCCCCCCCCCCCCCCCACCGCTGCCCTGGGGTCAAAGTGACACGAGAGGCCTTTGTTTTAAAATGGATTTTGACCTAAGGGCAGCAGGAGGGTTACGATGCATCGGCTCTTGCTGTGGCTGAGAAAGTGTTTGAACTTTTGTCACAACGATCATTTGTGGTGAAACTTCACAGTCTGGACGGACGGATCCTTTATTGATCCTTCCAGGCAAATCGTTACGTCACAGCATTATTACTTACTATTACTTAGCCCATCTTTTATACACACAGGTAAAACTAATTGTCCGGCTACTTAAAACCTTGTTTTAGTATAAAATATGTTTCCGGTTTGCTGACCCGCAGTATCTGGTTTAGTCACTGTAGCAGTCTGGTCCGGGACAAGCCCCATGTTTTAGACCAGTATTTCAAGAAATATGTAAATATATATTAAAGTATGACTCTGATAAGGAGTCAGAATGAGCACTGGCTGCGGTGAACTTGTTTACATTTCTGAAAATGTTAAAATGCTGATTTTGCTGCAGTTAAGAGTTGTGTAAAGAAGAGAGTCCATAAAGACGCCATCTAGTGATCTGGGTAATAAAAATACTATCAAAGCGCCTTTTCTTAGAAGTTTTAAAAAAAAATATTTATTATAATTGTTGTTATTTATTATAACTGTTGTTATTTATTATAACTGTTATGTTTATTATAACTGTTATAATAAATATAACAGTTATAATAAATATAACAGTTATAATAAATATAACAACAGTTATAATAAATATATATGTTATTTATTATATCTGTTATTTATTATAACTGTTATTATAACTGTTGTTATTTATTATAACTGTTATTATAACTGTTGTTATTTATTATAACTTGTTATTTATTATAACTTGTTATTTATTATAACTGTTATTTATTATAACTGTTAGTTATAATAAATATAACAGTTATAATAAATATAACAACAGTTATAATAAATATAACTGTTATATTTATTATAACTTGTTATTTATTATAACTGTTATTATAACTGTTGTTATATTTATTATAACTGTTATATTTATTATAACTGTTATTTATTATAACTGTTATTATAACTGTTGTTATTTATTATAACTTGTTATTTATTATAACTTGTTATTTATTATAACTGTTGTTATTTATTATAACTGTTGTTATATTTATTATAACTGTTATATTTATTATAACTGTTATATTTATTATAACTGTTATATTTATTATAACTGCTGTTATTTATTGTAACTGTTATTATAACTGTTATATTTATTATAACTGTTGTTATTTATTATAACTGTTATTTATTATAACTGTTATTATAACTGTTATATTTATTATAACTGTTGTTATTTATTATAACTGTTATTATAACTGTTATATTTATTATAACTGTTGTTATTTATTATAACTGTTATTTATTATAACTGTTGTTATTTATTATAACTGTTGTTATTTATTATAACTGTTGTTATTTATTATAACTGTTGTTAGAACAGAAGCACTTTGGACTGCAGCCGCCTGGAGTGCGCATGTGCCACTTCACACTTGGAGCATGTCACTCCTCCGTGGGGGGTTCCCCCTGAAAGTCTCCACTCTGAGACCTGGACTCAGAAACCTTCAAGAGAACGAGGTTGTGTCTGTAAACGAACGTTTCACGTCGTGTAAACGAGGCCTCAGATTGGCTGCCCTGCCTGTCAATCAAGAGACACATTTCACAGATGATCGGCTGACGGATGTTTTTTTAATGCCATGAGATCCACCCATAGTACCATTGAGATCCACCCATAGTACCATTGA